TAGAAACTGATGCTTAAAATGGTTAAGTAATTTGTTCAGGTCAGTACCTAGAAAGATGCCAGGGCAGGACTTGAACACAAGTCTTTAATGTCTGGAGGCTTTGTTCTCTTTCACTGTGCAGCGAAGAGCATTTGGTTCCCAGCATCCTGAAACTGCTTTCCTTCTAGCCACTAGGATGCTGGAAGAATTTATATGACAGTGGGGCTGTTTTCATCATTAAAGGCTGTCAGCATGGTGACAGGGAGCGGTAGATATGGAGCTGTCACAGTAGGAAAAATGAGGCGGCGCGGAAGGCACTCCATCACTGCCTGTGTAGTGGAGGAGGCCAGCGCTCTGCCGCACACAGGCTTCTGTGAACCGCCTCAGCTGCATCTTCACTTGGTCCCTCTTCCAGATTCATCCCTGAGTGGGGGAAGAGGAAGCTGTGGCCATGGCCAGAGGCTTGCCAGCATTCTGAATCGAGCTGAGGCCAAACAGCACGAGAGGGCAGAGCAGCTACTGAGAACCTCATCAAATCACAGCCCCAGGTGCCTACAGCCCCGCCCTAGCCTAGAATCCATCATGGACTCCTAGGCTCAGAGCTTTTGGATGTCTGGACCTTTTCAGGTGGGGCAAATTTATTGTGAAGTCAGTCTTCATCTCCCCTCTGACTCCTTCCTGCCCTGAAGTTCCTGAAGGTGAAGGAAACACACGACACCCCAGCGAGTCACCGCTAGCGTGGTGGGTCACTGACTCCCTGAGCTCCTTAAAATCATTTAAACTGCTCAGGGTCCTGATGTCTGACAGGTGTGAGCAGAAATGGGCTCTGTAACTGACCACAGTCCAGCTTAAAACCCTTCTCCCAAAGGGGCTGGATGCATTCTAAGGAAGGATGCAGGGTCCCCAGAAGAGTCCCTGCTGGAGAGACACTGGTCTGGGAAGTTCCCATCCTTCCCTGGTGGGGAGCACCTGCATTTCTAATAGAGTCACCTAATCACTTGTTTAAACCAGGCATTCCGTGTGTAATGACTCCTGGCTGAGACCAAAGAAAGCCATCTGCTGTCGCCTGCCCTACAGGATGTGATCCCCTCTGGTGTGGGAACAGACAGCCTTACTGGAGCAGAGGCATCGGGAAAGCTCTGGGAGAGGCTGTTTTCAGGTGGGACTCACTCCTTCTTCAGCTGGCCAGATCATCTTGGGCGCAGGTACAACTAGAGTCACAAGAAATGGGCACCCACTTTTTCAGCTGTGCCTGTGGCACTCACCAGCAGCTTCCAAGGCTGGTCCCTGGGCACCTGCCCTTCTCTGTCAACAGGAGGACACAAATCTACCCATCCTGAAGCCTTCCTAGGCCCTGGTGTGTGGCTGTAAAGCAGCTGGTTGGTTGTTTGCCCAGAGTTTTAAGGTCTGGAGGAGAGACACTGGAGACATAGTAGCTACAGGGTGTTCATTATTCGGATTTTAATCATTATTCCTGGGAGAAGAGTCCCCCTCTCCATTCCCTGAGAAAACAGGCTGGCGGTGGCCCATTTCAGCACCCACGTCAGGTGGCTGTAACTCCAGGGGACTCAGTGCCCTATTCTGGCCTCTGAGCACACACAGTAAAAGTAAATCTTTTTTTTTAAAAAAAAAATACCATTCTTTTCAAAGCCTAAAAAGACCCAGTATTCTGTAAGCATTTAGTAAATGGCACCTGTTAGCACTCGAGAGAGATACTCAAGAAATTTTAGATTGGTTAGACTGTCCACATAGACTAGATTTTTTTTTTCAAGACAAGGTTTCTCCGTAGCTCTGGCTGTCCTGGAACTCACTCTGTAGACAAGGCTTGCCTTGAACTCAGAAATCTGCCTGCCTCTGCCTCCTGAGTGCTGGAATTAAAGGTGTGTGCCACCACTGCCCAGGGAGAGCAGATTTCTTGCTACCAACGTCACTGTTTTCTGGGAAGACCTGTGTGGTGCTATGGGACTGGGCACCCTCCTGCTCGGCCACCTGACTCTCTTCTGTGGTAGCTCTGCCCTCTCTGTCCTGTCTACTTACCTGGAGACTGCTCAGGCTGACACTTGATGTCCAAAGCTGTAGGACCAAGGAGCAACCACATGGAAGCCCCAGGGTCTCAGAGGTAGGGAGGGGGGAAGAGAGGAGGCCTCCTGACCATACTAAGAGGCCTTGCAGCCAGACCCCAGGGTTGCAGCTCTTGAGCATGCTGCAAAAGGAGGAGGTGCACCCAGGAAGTGCTTCTCCAAGGTTTCAGGCCCTGCAGTAACGGGGTGGCTGTGTCCACTGTCCAAGTGCTGAAACCTAATTTGCAAGGCGTTGGCATTTGCACACAAGTGGGGTGGGTGCTTGTTTAAAGCCCCAGGACTTTCTGAGCTGCCCTACCACATGCAAGCACCTTGAGAAGGTAGCGTTCACCTGTGGACCAGAAGGAGGCCCTCCTCCACCTTGTCTGCTGATGCCTTCACCTTGGACTCTCAGCTCCAGAGCTGTGAGACATCAGTTCCATTGTTTATTAACTTCCCAGTTTGTGGTGCTTCATGACTGTGTCCAAGCAGGCTAAGGCAATGGCCAATCAAGCTAAGAAATAAAATATTTGGCTGTGAGCTCACTGTACATGAATTCTCTCTAAAGAAGTTATTAGCATAACTCTGACCAGTGAGTATGAATGTGTGCACAGCTATGCACACAAACAGCTACAGGTGTGCCTATACGTAATCACCTGTTATCGGCAGCTGGCTCTTGCCCCTTCCTAGCTGTGTGACTTTGGTCAGAGGCTTCCCCTCTTTTATCCCTCGTTTCCGCGTCTGCATGATGAAGATGATGCAGCAGAACTATGAGGACCTACGAAGCCAGATACTGGCAAGTGTCTGGCAGAGGACTTTGCTAACTTTACTGCATCCACTTCATACATTACTCTCCGCCCCCCCCCATTTTAAAACTGAGGAGATGACGTCCAGGAGGTTGCCCTGGTAAGCAAGCGTGGAGCCAGGTGGCTGGGTGGCCCCAGGCCATGATGCCATGTCCAAGAGAGTCAGGAGAGGGCAATTCTTTCCCTTTGCAGCAGGCCCTGGCACTGAGAAGCAGGGCTCTAGCTCCTCTTGAGTTCAGACAGGTCTAAGCACCTAGGGAGGCCAAGGAGGCACTATGACCAGGAGCCCACTGAGGACCTAAGAGCCAGTGGCCTCCAGAATCGGCCAGGACTAAGCCATGCCCCTGTAGCGAACACAGGAAGGCCTCTCAGCGGCATGCTGAGATTACCAGCTAGGGGGCCTGTTCCACTTAGTGCAAACAAGAAGTCACATGAGCTTCACGATGTCCGTATCACCACCATGGATACCCCAGAAAACCTGAGGGGCTTCTCTGTGACGTGCAGTTGTCAAGACTTTTGAGAAGTTATTTCTTTCACTTCTCTATACCTCCATTTCCTCATCTGTAAAATGGGAATGCCAGTTGTTCCTGCTGCAGGGGAACAACTGGGAATGGGGCCCAATGAGGTGAGGCCTTAGAGCCCCCCAAGGTCCGCCTAACCCAGAGCTGTACTGCTGACATTGAAGCTGGGGTTAGACCCAGGCCTGAAGAAAACCCACAGCTTGAATAGTATTCCCCACACTGCTTCCCTGGGCCCAAGGGTGGGAGAGTAAGCAATCACAGTTGCCTTCTTGCCCCCGCAGCCCCCCACCGTGCACTTGTGCTGTCTTGAAGCTAGAGGGAGGATCAGAGGCAGCAAGGCAGGGAAAAGAAACCCCCTGCGAATTCTCCCGTCTTCTCCCAGTTCCACAGCCCCTGCGGGAACCAAGCTGCAGAAGACAATGGGATTTAATAAAATGCCTTTAACTCACAAAGTTTGTCTGCTGCCAGCTCCTTAATTAAATTGCCTAATTCTGCTCTTCAATGGCAGCACAAACCCCGGTGTTTAAAGAGCACGAGGTTGCTATGGCATTTGCACCAGGGCAGGCTATGGAGGAGCATGCAGATGTGCAGGTCTTCCTGCTATCACAGTGACCGCCCATGGCATCCTCCCAGCCACTCACCGTGATGCCCAAAGCACCAGCCCCAACCCCTGGTCCCATTCCACACACATTGCATCAGTCAGCTAGGAAACAAGTCTTTCCTAAGAGGGAAAGAATCCTTGATGGGAATGCTGAGTTGGGATTTAGAACTGGGAGGATTGGGGGTGTCTGCAAAAAGCAGAACTTCTTCCTACTCTGACTGGGGTGAGTGCCAGCCCTGCCCTGGCCCACAGAGCAGCCCTGTGAGGGCCACAGCACTATCTCCCAAGCAGCCCCTCTCCCTTCCCTGATAGCCTGTGCAGATCCATCTGTATTCATTCAGCAGAGCTTCAAAACCCTGCTCAGTCTGCCTGGCTGGATAAGAGGCCAGGTTTGCTCTTTAACTGACATGGAGAGGCATGAGAAACATCTGCTTTCTTCTGAAGATGTGGTTTCCAGCCCTAGCTCTGCAGTAGTATAACAGTCAGGGGTCCCCCACACCCCAACACCATGGAAACTATAGAGTCTCCCATAGACCTCAAGGTTAGAGAAATCTTGGTGATGCTCCCATATTCACCACCTGGTTTCACCATAACTCCACCAGCTCTGTCCATCATCCATCTTCCTTCTGGTACATTTCTCCCTAGAGAGTTCACCGGAGTTTAAGTGGTGTGAGGGTTTTGTTTGCTTGTTTATTTCACTATTATTTACATACAAAGAATTCCTAGAAAGTTCTGTTGGAATGCCGTACTTGGATCCTCCCCTCTGAGACTGATACAGTTGAGCTAGAGTAGATAGATCGGGCGGTGGTGGCGCACACCTTCTATCCCAGCACTAGGGAGGCAGAGGTGGGCGGATCTCTGTGAGTTTGAGGCCAGCCTGGTCTACATAGAGTGTTTCAGGCTGGTCAGAGATATGTAGTGAGATGCTTTCTCAGAGACAGACAGACAGACAGACAGACAGACAGAGATCCCTCTCAGTGCCTTCCAAATATGGAGATTATGGCAACCCACGACCACACCTCGCTAAGATTACCTCATAATTCTCTGATATAGCAAGAGCTGAAAAACACATCACAGGGGGCAAATGGTTACCCTTTTCCTGTCCAGTAGGTCGAAAGCAGAACATGCCTGACACCTGGGCCCAACCCTGCTCTCCCCTCCCATACCATGACTGTTCCTCTGACTCTGCACGTGAGCACCACGTGCCCGTGTGCACACTCCTCTGTGTGCACTTCTGTGCCCCACATCTCATATTGCAATTTCGCTGTCTCGTGTGTCTTTGCCGGTGGTCTGTTCTGGGGTTCGTACACTCCACAGCTGTGAGACATGGCCGTGTTCTTATGGTGATCAGGATCTTGGGGAGCCCAGGATGGTGGCAGCAGGTGAAGATGAGCGTGCCAGGGAGGTCACTCATTGGGCAGTGATGACAGACAGAGCCACTGACCACCACAGTCGCAATGGCGCACATGGCAGTCATGGGGCTGCTGGAGAGAAAGAGGGATGACCCCGCAGTGGTGACATGGCAGTAAATCTCAGATGGTGGCACTGCGATGGTGGTGGCTGTCGTGGTGCTGTCGTTGCCCATCCCTGTGAGAGAGAGAGAGAGGTGCCAACACAAGTTCATTCGCTCTGGTGACGCCCTTCTGAGAAGAGTGCTGACTGCTGCATGGGATGAAGGACCTTTCCCTAGGACCCTGTCTGGGACCCCTACTGCTACAAGCTGCAGCTTCTTCTGAGATGCTGAGACCACCTGAAGACCCTCTCCCACAGACCCCAGGGGAGGTTCCCACAGAGCAGCTGCCCTGTTGTACTGACTCAGGGATGCAGCAACAGTGCTGAGTACAGTGGCCCTTTAGGGACATTTGCTTAAGGTCCACACAGGGCTTCAAGTGATCTTGATGAAAGAATGTTATTTCTGGCTTGCTGGTTTCCTGGTCCTTTGACACTCTACATGCTGTAAGGAGGATAAAGGAAAATACTCTGGGATCCCCTCCCTTAACCTGGCCAACAGGGGCAGAGATAGCAACATCTCAGAACACTCCAGAAATGTCAATCAAAGCTGGCACCCCTCAGAACCAATCTTACTGTACTTCTGGGAAAATGAGAACAAGATAGGACTGCACAGGCTTGCTGGGTTTTTGTCTTTGATTTGTTTGTTTGTTTGTTTGTTTGACATAGGTTCTTGTGTAGCTGAGGCTAGCCTCAGATTCATTCTGTAGTAGTATCTGGCATTGAACTGATCCCCCTACCTTCACTTTCCAAGTGCTGTGGTTACTGGTGTGCACCACCACAAACAATGGCACACCGTTTTCTTCTTTGAACACAGGTCCCAGTAAATAGCCCAGGCTGACATTGAACTCAAACTCACAGAAATTCTTCTGCCTCGGGAGATTACAGGTGGGATCCATCATATATACAAATATGTTTGTGTATGTGTGTGTGTGTGTATATATATATATATATATATGATAATGAAACTATCTTTTAGGTGATATCATTCAATCCTTCCCTTTTATTGATTAGATAAGATCAGCTTGCATTAAGTAAAACCCGAGTAAAAATGACAATAAAAACACCTTTGATGTCCACAGCATCTCTAGTGACACAGTGGACACCCCCCTGTGATCTGATTGGATCTATAGAATGGGCTTAGGGCCAGGTGCATCTGACAGCTGGTGGCCCGGCACTGGGAGAGACTGAGCCAGCCCTACAGCTTGTGAAGCACGTTTGCCCTCATTTCAGGTCTTTAAAAGAGAGAGTGGTCTTACCCTGTTTTTTATAAGAGGAAATGAAGGGTGAGCATCTCACCCTAGTTGGCATGGTTAGTAAGGGGCAGAGTTGGAATGAGAACCCAGTATCCCTGGATTATCATCCTAGAACTGCCATAATAAAGCACTATAAACTTATCCCTTCAAATAATAAAAACTCATTGTCTCGAAGTCTTGTGGGCTAGAAGTTCAAATTTAAGGTGTTAGCAGAACAAGCCTCCCTCAAGAAGATCAGAGAACCTATCCTTGCCTCTGCTGGATTCTGCTGACAGCCATCAGTGGCAGGGTGGTGAGGGGGACATTCCTTTGCTTGAAGCTGTGGCCTGTCCCTTTTCCTTAAGTATCCACCTCATGCGCCATTTTCTTTCTCCTATGGGACATCAGCCATACAGGATTAGGGTCTCCCTGACAACCTCAACTTTGCCTAACTACATCTATGAAGGCCCTATTTTCTAAGGGTACATCCACAAACACCCAGAGTGGGAGTTCGATATCTCATTTGGGGGGACACAGTACCCCTGACATCAGGCTAATGGCCTTGCATTCTTCCCGTGCACCCTTGCTGCTCCCGTTTCTCCCATCTTTTGTCTCCACAGACAAGGTGCCCTTCTTCCGCAGTGTAGCACGGGGCAGCCAGAGGGCCATCCATTTCTGCTCTTCCAAATTATTACCAGCCACCAAAGCGAAATCATGAAATATAGGCGGGCTTTTTGTCTTTTTTATTCCCAGACAGTAAAAAAAATCATTAAGGCTTGCTCTTAATTAGTTTAATTTTGAAGCTTCTAAATATTGATTTAACCTCCACTCCTTTGTACTTGCTGCAGTCACTGAATTATGCCTGGTATTGATCACAGATGGAAGCATTTCCCTCCACCGGGCTCAGGGCTCGGGAGCTGTCAGCCTGCCTGGCACTCTGGGCTTTGAGGTTGAACAGATATGGAGGAAGGAGAAGCTGTGCCCGGGTAGAGCTCGTCCTTGAGGAAGGCCTGTAAACCTGGGCCAGAGACCCGCTTCTTTTTCTTGCATTGGCCCGTACCCAAAAGAGATTGAACAAGAAGTCAACTGGAACCTCCCATTCCATTCTGGGATGAAAGAGAATTGGGCAGTGAGGCTGGAGGGTCATGAAGAATCAGATCCCAGAGCATAGGCGTTGGCACCAGCCAGCAGTGACCTGGCTTTGCTACTGAATGCTCTCAGGCCAGGCCCTCACCCTCTCACACGGCAATGGGGTTTGTCGTTCCCACATCACAGTGGCATTGTGAGCACACAGGCAGCCCCTCCTGCCAGGTGTCCAGTCCAAGGCCTGGCTCACCATCAGGCTGTCTCAGTGGCTACCGTGATTATTGCCTTCCCATAGGGGAAATCAGGACCAGGCTGGAAGCACACTGTGCCTTCTCGTCTTGGCCCATTACTGTTTGCTGTGTGAAGTTGATCGAGTTATTTGATACTCTTCCCATTAAAATAGGGGCAGTAGCATCTGTGACTGTCAAACATGTCTCCCTTGAGCAGCTTCAAGACAGCACCAAAGACTGGGCATCTATAAAGACCAGAAATTGGTTTCTCGAGATCAAGGCGTCAGCCTCCAGTGAGGCCTGCTGTCTGCTTCCAAGACAGTTTTCTGAACTCTGGGTTCTCTGGGAAATGCAGTATCTCCACATGGAAAAAAAGCAGACTGACAGAAAAAGACCAAGTCCCTCTCTCACGACTTTCAAAATATCACGTGTTCATTCAGGAAGGTAGAGCCAATCTGACCTAAACACCACCAACACTGTACCATTGGGGATTGTGTTTCTTTTTCATTTTTATTTTCTCTGTGTAATGTCCCCAGCTGTCCTGGAACTCACTCTGTAGACCAGGCTGGCCTCAAACTCAGAGATGGTCCTGCCTCTGCCTCCTGAGTACTGGGACTTGAGCCACCAAGCCCACCAGGGATCATGCTTTTAATGCAAGAATCTGGGGCGTGCACTCAGACCACAGCCACATGAGACAGTGGGAATGGTAGAATCTCAATTGCAAGGTGCATCGTTGTAATGCCCTCCACGGTCCCTGTGACTACACTTGGCCTACAGGATCATGTCCAACCATGCTGCCTCTCACCTGCAGTCCTCATGACCGCTCTGCTCACAGGCTGCAGAGAAACACTCCTCGGCATTTACTTCCTACAGTTTGTTCCCAGGCCTCTGCTCAGTGCTGAATGTCTTCCACCATCCTCTACTTCTAGAGACCTTCTTGGTCCAGGCTCCCTCTAGGATCTTCGTCCTCCACCCCAGGGAGATTTTCTTTTTAGATTTATTTATTTACTTATTTATTTATGTATACAGTATTCTGCCTGCAGATCTCATTACAGATGGTTGTGAGCCACCATGTGGTTGCTGGGAATTGAACTCAGGACCTTTGGAAGAGCAGGCAGTGCTCTTAACCACTGAGCCATCTCTCCAGCCCCCCAAGCGAGATTTTAAAGCAATCTTATCAAAGCACCCACCAAGTTCACTCATTGTCTCAGCGAGGGTTTCTGCTGCTGTGATAATGCCATAACCTTAAGGAATTTGGGGAGGAAAGGATTTATTGCCTCTTAAGCTTCCAGTCATCAAAGGACTCAGGGCAGGAACTCAAGGCAGGAACCCGGAAGGAGAAACTGATACAGAGGCCACGGAAGAGTGCTGCTTACTGGCTTGCACCTCATGCTCAGTCTGCCAGGACCTGCCCACTGCCCACAGTGCCCGCTCATGTCCATCACCAATCAAAATGGACAGTCTGGTAGGGGCATTTTCTCAGCCGTAACTCCCTCTTCCTAAATGACTATAACTTTTGTCAAGTTTATATAAAACTAGCCTGCACAAAAATTTTTAGCATATTTCCTCTGAATACTTGCCTAACTTCCTACCTGTGGTGGGACCGTGCCTGTTCCCACAGCTGAGCCCACTGTCCTGTAACAACTTTTTATTCCATAGGGAGTTTTCCTTTGTCTTGTTCTCAAGTTGAGCAACCTCACTGCGCTTCCCATGCGCGCTTCCCATACGCTGTGTCCCTTGCCATTCCCATAGGTAGAGGGCCCAGCATGCCACCAGACCTTTTTCCATGCTCCTGGAAGTTTCTCTGTGCTGGGGACAGAGGACGTGAGGGGGTTCTGGAAGACTCCATCCTGTTAGGATGTCAAGACAACCTAACCTCTCAAGAGAGCAACATGGAGCACATCATGAGTAGATGCTTTTGAGATTTCTAACTATCGTTCCTTGGTTTTCAGAGTTGGACTGCAGAAGTCATCCAGCTCAAACTTGGATTTCTAGGCCCCACTCTCAGCCTCTGATCCTGGAGGGCTAGTGAGCTCGAGAATCTGCTTTTCTGAGAACTTTCTCAGGGGTGAGGCCATGATCCAAAGCCTGCTCCCAGCCCTGACTAGCGCTGCTCCCCAAGCCCTGCCCTGCCGTGAGTTCCCTGTGGCTGTAGGGCAGTCCAGGTAATCATGGAGCGAGTAAGAAAGAGCTGAGCTACGAGGTCACCAATGAGGCCTCTGGGGTCAGGAGAGCTAAAGAAGAAATAACTGAGCGAAAGGATGGCTAGGGCGAACCTGGAAGACTGGTGAGGACCCGCAGGCTATCTCGCTGCAGTGAGGGAAAAGAGAGAAAGAAAAGCGCCCACTGAGAGCCTCATCTGCAGCCATTTATCTCGCAGCCTGCCTGCCACATCTGACAGGGGAAGGCTTGCGCCCTCGAGCCCGGGGCCTCCTTCCGCAGTGTGATTTATCTCGGGGCTTCATCTGGTAGACCTCTGATGGAACGAGTCTCCTCTTCTCCCCGCCTCATCAATTTTCATTCTGATTTCATTTTCCTTTCTCCGTGTTTAACTAGCCTGCTCCGCATTCGCGCTGCCATCCGCCCTGCCATCCCACCAGGTGCCAGGGAGACCCAAAGCTCCTCCTCACACGCAGGGCAGAGTCCTTCCTCTCCGCGCTTCCCTGTCATCAGGGCCTTGGGGCCTTCTACCTTCCCTAACTGTGCACAGAGAGGAGACAAGAGCCCCTTGGGATTGCAGGCTGTGGCTTCATAGGGAGTGGGGGAAGCGGGGGGGGGGGGGTACTCATCCATAGAGGCGTCAGTGTTTGAGGCTTTTCCTAGATGCACCGTGGAGAACAGAATTTCAGGTTGAGGACCTGGCTGAGCAAGGGCACGGGGACCGGAAAGAACTATCTGCATCCCTCTTTTCTACCTTGCCTTCCTTCCTCCTGATCCTAGCTGCCTGTGGCCAAGGGCCATCCTGGGGCCCTGGCTCATGAGATAGCCGGGGAAGGCTGCCGAATCTGCCGGGCACCTCCACCTGAGCAGCAGCCAGTCTAGACTGCCCATCTGGCTTGTGACTGGGGCAGTGGAAGGTCCATCCCAGGAGCAGCCCTCGGGGTCTTGGCAGGGAGCACGTGGGAAAGGGGGAGCGCAGAGGCACTGCTCACCAGCTGCGACCTCTGACCTGTTTATTGAGCAAATGTTTTGTCAGGCATCTGTGATCTGCTGGTGGCTCGTGTCCTTGAGCTGTCCTGAAACCTGGAGCCAAGGATCCCCATTGAAGGTTCCAGGGTGCACTTTCAGCGCTTTGGAAGAGGGCTGATTCTCTTGGAAAGGGTACCAGCTGCAGAGGAAATAGCCCTACCTCCCAAAACATGGGTGATCTAGAAGGTGAGGTACAGTCCAGCCAAGGAAATGTGAGGACACTGATGCAAAGGGAAAGGGGGTCTCAGAGCCCCAGGCGCTTGTGGATGGCCATTTTCTCCAGCTCCAGCAGGAGGCACATTTCTCCCGGTGTGACAGATGAGGAGGCCCAAGAACACTTGTGCAGCAGGCAACAGGATTCCACGGTGGAGCCCCCTCCACAGCCAGTAATTCTGGCCTCAGAGCAGAGGCTAGTGGAGTCTGGAGTTTCTAGAGGGGTTCAGAGAAAGCTCCAGAAGGGTGAAGGTGAATGCAAGATCCTGTTAAGCCAGACAGAAACTTGAGAACAAAGTGACTTTCACCCAGGAGCAGTGACCTGGAAGGCAAAACGGCCATAGAAAGGCATGAACCAGGAAAAACAGACTCCGGGATGATGCTGGCCTCCTTTAAGGGCAGGAAAAGAAGCAGAAGGAATAGCCCACACAATGGCCTCTTCTCTGGGCCCTTGATCCCTGTGGCTTCTGATCTCTAAGACAGAGAGACATCCCTGCCCTGCCCTGCCCTGCCCTGCCCTGCCCTGCCCTGCCCTGCCCTGCCTGTCCCTATGTTCCTAAGTTCCTACGTTCCTAAGTTCCTACGGTGAGCTTGAGCAAGGCACCTGGCCCTGCAGAGTTCTCAGTCTGCAGGAGAACAGGCAGGTTCTCACGGAGGGATGCAGGGCACCCCAGGAGCTCAGGAGAAAAGTCCTGGTCAGGGAGCAGTTCCTGCAGCTTTGCAGAAACCCTGGCAGCATCAGGAGATGGACTCAGCCTGAGCCATTCTCTGCCTGGGCTTGCAGGCCCTGCTCCCCTGCAGCTTGTTTTGGTGCAGTGCGATCAGACAGAAATGACTGTGTGCTACCTACGGGCACCCTCCGTTCTAATCAGGAAATAATGAGGCAGGCTCCCTTCCAGGCTTGGAGCTCCACACTCTCTGCCTGGACACTGTAGAGACTCCTGCCTGGCAACAAGACCCTTCTGTCCCCACCCAGGAAAGAGATTTATCAGAACCTGGACCTCTAAAATTCCAACGACGAGGAGAAAGCAAGGCTGAAATAAAGGAATCTCACCCTCCCCACTGTGCCCCCCGGCAGACCGGCTGAGCTCTGGCACCAGAATCCCAGAAATAACCATGGCTGTGAATGAGATCTACCGGGTCCCTCCTGACCCTCTATGTCCCAGCTGTAGGACCTCAATCTTGTCCCCTAACTTCTCTGAGCTAAGTTTCTCATCTAAGAAGCACTTCATTTACAGGACTGTTGGCAAAGTAGCTGGCATACAGGAAACCTGGCACACGAGCCCCCAGGGATGCCACATGTCTCCCTATAGTTGACACACTGTTTGAAATAGGTTTGGTGGCTGTGGCACAAGAACCCTTGAGGATGCCACGCATCTCCCTACAGTTGAAGTGGTTTGGGGGATAGGTTTGGTGGCTGTGGCACATGAGCCTCCAGAGATGCCACGCATCTCCCTTCAATTGAAGTGGTTTGGGAGATAGGTTTGGTGGCTGCATAAGAGTTTGATGGCTGAAAGGAACAGGGCATGACAGTCAGGGTGAGAACCTGCGGGTGAGACAGTGGCAGGTTGGGTGTGGCAGAGAGAGAGACAGGGCAAGGAATGTGAGGTCCCCTCTAATGTGAATAGGACAACATGGAAGAGGCCACCATAAGAGTCTAGACTGGCAATAAAGACAGAATGTAGGTGTATTTGCCAGGGGAAGAGGTGCGATTCAAAATAGTGATTTCCAGCCTTAGGCACTGGTGGGTGCTGAAATCGACAACCATGGGACCAAAGGAGCAGGCTGGTGAGAGGGCTGCTGGCTTTGGGATGAGATGAATGTGAGGGGTTCCGAGACTGCCAGGTAGAGAGACATGGGGGAAGCTAAGAGTGCACAGTAACTCCTGTGTATCCTCTTGTCTGCTGCCCTGGGACTCTGTGAGGAGAAGACCTAGAAACAGGGGTAGCAGAGATCACCAAGCATTCTTCCTGTCTCAACACCTAGGTCCAGGCCATGAGGATTCTAGTCAGAGCTGGGACCCTGAGGCATAGAACTGTTTCTAGGTGTAAGGACAAGAAATAAGCCCCATCTTGCCTGAGAAGGATGCCGAGAGGCTCTGGCCCACTTGGGAGTAGGAAGAGTTGTTCCGTGAATCACCCAGGTCCAGTGCCCTTGTTCTCAACTTACCGTTGGAGAAGAAAGAGGGAAACAGAATTTAAAGATGACACTGGCTGATGAGGTGAGAGGTCAGGACTGCAGTTACCAGGTAGGGCTGCGTATTGACCTACAAGGGCATGAAGGATGTGTTCTGGGATAGTCACATCTAGATCTGAGTGTGGCTGAGCCGGTATTCGCCTGAGTTCATGGAGCCTGGGGCTAGTGTCTTCGTTATACACACGCCTGTGTAGTTAATCTTATACCTCACAACTCAAAGTGTTACAAAAGGTGAGGCACAGAGATATGATAGAAAGCCATGATGACGGAAGAAGTGAAGGGAGCCGAGTCATACATCGCCGTCTCCACGGCTGCAACCCATAAGGTCCTAGGAAGCTGACTGCTTTGCCCAAAGTCACATAGAGAGTGGAAGAGCCGGGCTCAAACTCCATGGCAAAGCCCAGTACCTTCTGCACCAACAGCCCCCCTTCATATAAGTTATCTATGGGATTCAGGCTCTGGAAGACTAGATAAACACGGGGGGCTCCTGTGCAGAAGCTCTGGTTGTGTATGATTAAGTGAGAGGCAGGAGTGAGGGACCTAGTCACCTCCCAGAGGAACTGGAGGCCGCGTGTACAGATGGAAGCCGGCCTACCACCCTCCTCTGCAGCTCCTGCCCAGGGCTTATCTACTGCTGAGGAGGCCGGAGTTTATCAATGCTGCACTCAGTTACGCCCTCCCATCTGTTCTCCACAGCTCAGAGAGACCTGGTACTGAAGCCGGCAAGACCAGGCAAGCGGTAGCTTCCTGCCTGCTGGCCTCCCGCTGAAAGGCTGCTGGGGGGAGGCGGGGACTAGGGAAGGAAAGGGAGGACTGTAGGATGGTGGAAGGGAGGGAGTTTGGGTGCACTCCCTCCACCTCAGTAGACTCCGCCCCCACCCCGCCCCCACCCCCACCCCCACCCCTCCGTGCTGCAGGAGATTGGGACAGAGAAGGGAAATGGAATGACAGTGTCCCTCAAATTCTTCCTTCAGAGATTTGCCAAGGGTCTTCTTAGAAGGACTGGAAGATTGATTCCATGCCTTCTGCTAAGTTCAAAGATGATTCCTGGAGCGAATCCAACTGAAAATGAGTCCTTTGGGATTTGTAGTTTGAGCCCTTCCAAGCTAATGGTGTGCCTTTGGAGGAAGCCAGCCGTGGGGCCTGGAGGATGACTCCAGGACCCTCCAACACCCACTTCACAGTCAAATGGCAAGGTCGGGTCCGTTTGCAGCTCCGAGCTTTGTTTGACCCTGTGGTTCCAGGCCCATCAAGACTCAGAGTAACAGAGTCCTTCCTGAATGCTCCTCAAGGGTGTCAGTCTAGCCAGGAGCCAAGGAAGGGTGCTGGTGGGCCATCAGGGGACAAGATATATTTGCTAAGGACCCAAGTCCTTGCAACTGAGGCAAGTGTTCCAAGCCAGTATGACACCAGCTGCCCTCAAGCAAACATTGATCTCTGTTGATTGGGCTGGTGGGGTAGATTATAGTAAAATAATAATAATAATAATAATAATTATAATAATAATAATAATAATCGGGTTTCCCTCACCACATAGAAGCTGTGTAACCTCTGCTATAACTTTTCTGAACCTTGGTTGTCTCCCTGACAGAATTTAAGTAAAGAATCCCTCCGTTGCCCACGCATGGAGCGGGTGGAGATATGAAACGTAATGTTCTGTATTCTGTAGATTTTATTATTCATATTCGCCCCCAAGTGCACAGCTTCACTTGATTCTCTGTGGACCAGGGGAGCTCGCAGACCAGCTGGAAGACGTGTGTGTGCCCATGCACCCCTGGTTACCTGGACCTTAGAGAGGAAAGACATTTGCTTTCTCTGCAGAAACTCTCACTAACCAGCTTGAATGAGCAGGGCTGTGACAGCCTTTATAGTGATGGCAAGCAAATGGGCAGCTCTGGACTCCATCCAAGGAGGGGCTTGGTGCCCGACCTCAGGAGAAGAACTCCTCTAAGGGTTTGCCACACTTTAGGGTCCCAGATTCAGCTGCCGTTTCTCTCTTCCTCTTAAAACCAGCCCTGATCCTAGCCCATGAATAACACACTCTGCAGCTCCTGCCCAGGTAGCTGGATAAGGCCAGCAGGGGAGCTGTCTGCCATGGAACTTTAGGTTTTGGTGGCTTCCCAGCACCTTGAGCAAAGCTGAATGCTAGCTTGACACTCAGAACAAGGAGGAGAGGGAAGCCAGGGGCTCAGGTCTTATCTAAAGGTCAAGTGACACACTGAGGTCCCCTCTGAGGAGTCCTTACTTCCTACTCAACCTCACTTTTCTCTCCAGCTGGGAACTGTCCTGGGCTGTCCTCACCCATTGGCATTCTTTGCTGGATGGCTATGTTGCCAGTTCACAGCTCTCCACCCAGTATTGGGGACCCAAGGGCTAAGCTTAGTAGAGAGGAAGCTTATTGCACCCTGTTGTCTGTTGCCTACAAGACTATTGTTCCTTCAGAAGTCAGGTGACCACTGAGCAGAGTGTTGCCTTCCTGTGCTCGGAGTACTTGGGAGATGGAAGGAGGTCCTGAGTTCAAGGACAGCCTCAACCACATAGCAAAAGGAAGAAAGGATGAAGGAAAGAAAGAAAGAAAGAAAGAAAGAAAGAAAGAAAGAAAGAAAGAAAGAAAGAGGGGAGGGAAGAGAAAGGTTCTTATGTGGCAGAAGCACCTCCCAACCCTGGAAAAGGAGCTAACATTTCTAGAACTCTCTACGTGAGCGACATGCCATTTCAGTCTCAGCCTCATGACTATCTTTAAGAAAATAAAGGGAACAGAAAGCAACAGACGCTCGGAGAGGTCAAGGAGCCTGTCCTAGGGCAGAAGTAGAAGCATCATCTGCATGGCAGGTGCCTCTTGTTTCCTGCAGCTTCCCAACCCACAAAGGACACCACAGCACCCCTCCCCCTCCACGAGCCCCAGTTACTAGCCGGGCAGCTGGTTTCCCCAGGCTTCCATTGCACACGTATGTAGGCAGGCACGCATGTGCACACGTGTGTTTGTTTACCCTGCGATCTCCATGACAGTGCACACAGGACCCCCCCCCCCATGCAAACCTCCGAGCCTTTCAAGTCACCGTTGTTTTTCCCACCTTCAGAAATAGCTGCTGAGGGAAGTGGGCCTCAGTCGGCTGTACATGGGCATGCTGCTCTCCTGCTCAGGGAGGGGCGCCCTGCCCCCACGGCTCCCCTCCCAGCTTCCCGGAAGCAGGATGATGAGGCAAAGAGCCCCATGTGGCCAGCTAGAGGCACTGCCTGGAAGCTGATAAACACCGCTCTGAGCTTCCTGCAGCTTCCTGGCAAGGAGAGCTCACCGGGAAGACAGGAATGGCACCAGCCTGCCTCAGGACAGCCAGTGCACCCCAACCTTGGGTCCAAAGCAAGCTGGGCCAGACCCGAGGCAGAGCAGTGATGTATAAACGGCACAGCCTCCAGTTTGGGCTTATTTTCTATCTGTGGGTGTTTCCCAGCATGGAGACTCGAGCAGAGTTCTCTGGGTTCTTCTGGACCTATACACGATGGAGGTTTAAGTACTCACAGGCCTCTTAGGACAGCTACACAGGAAACAAGCTGCTCAGAGTCTTAGGAACGCATCCTGCATACCTACCGCTGAAGGGCTGCCAGACCAGACCTCTCCTGAGGAGTCAGACCAGGCTGAAAAAGACAGCTCAGATCTGGCCCAGTTTTGTGTCCATCTGTTCTAAGCCAAAGCTTGATGTCCCTTGGCCTTAGGGTCTGAAAGAGAAGCCAGGTTGATTGCATACATGCATACACCCAGGAGGGAAGAAACCAGTGCCTTGGGTTCCAGGTGTAGGAAACCCCTGGGGGAAGGGTTCTGAGGACGTGGGACTACAGTGAGCACCAACCATGCCCTGTGTTACAGCTGTGATCATGAAGGGCAACGTTATAGCCAGAGGAAGCTTTCCAGGTGGTGTAGGCAGGGCTGGGGACAGCAGCAAGCACAACACTGCAGTGGCCATGCCAACCCCTGGGCCCCGGAAGTGGAGACGCATGCTCCAATGTCTGTTGTCTACGAGTTTATTGTCCTCCAAGAAATCCTGTAGCCCCAGAGAAACTCTCTGACTTGAGTCATGAAGAACAAGCAGAAGTTGCCTGGGAGAAATGAGACAAAAGGGGTGGCATATCAGTTCACCCCAAAAGGTTTGTGGAGAGAGTATGAGGGGCAGAAACAGCAGGCCAGATTACAGAAGGCCATACTTGAGGGCTGAGGCAAATGGACTCCAGCCCCGAACGTCTGCCCTGCAACTCTAACAGGCCCTTGAGAGAGGAAGGCCCGTGCCTTCAGGATGGGAAGTTCACCCAGGAGACCAGGAAGGATTCCCAGCACCCCAGCCTACATGAATGTGGTCAAGATCCACTGCCCAGCTCCAGAGTTCTGGGAAGCCTACCCCATATTTTAGAGCTGGGTTTGTTTCCACTACCTCCTTTCTCTTGCCTCACCAGAGATGTCTAGAAACCATCATTTATCTCACTTATCCAGTGAAAAAAACAAGAAAGGTCAAAACAATCTATTCCACATTTGTCCGGGCTCCAGTGATGATGATTTCAGCTCACACATTCTCCTTTCCTCCTAAACATGCACACATAACCTATACTCCCCACCATCACCCACCACACCACACCATACCATACACATAACCTATACTCCCCACCGTCACCCACCACATCACACCACACCACACCACACCACACCACACCATACCATACATGTAACCTATACTCCCCACTGTCACACACCACACCACGCCACACCACACCACACCAATCCATACACATAACCTATACTCCCCACCGTCACCCACCACACTATACCACACACATATACACCTCTGAGTTATCCAAAGACTTAGAGAAGATGGTAGGAGAAGAACCTTGAGGGCTGCAGAAGAGGGCCCAGAAAGCCTGGTTCCCATCCAGGTCAGTTCCTGGGCTACTCCCTTGGTTTCTGGAGTCCACCAGGGGAGGCTGGAGGAACAGATTCCACTGCTTAACTCTGCACATCCCTAACTCTGTTGTCTTCTTCCAGGGCTGCCCAGCGAGGAAATGAGTGATGTCCCAGTCTAGTGCACAAAGATGAGGACCCACACCCAGGAGGGCACGAAGTGATGCCCACTCACGCCATGTAGAATGACTGCCCTGAGAGGGTGGTTCCCCAGACCTTGGCAGGGCTGCTGACCCTCAGTCTGCAAGTTGTGAAGAGCAGGACTCTTCCTGTGGAGGGTCCCCTGCCTTCCAGATCCACCATGAGGCTCCTCGTGGCTGCCCTCTTGCTATCTTGGGCAGCTGGTACCACTGCCGCGGTACCTGTGGTACCCTGGCGTGTGCCCTGCCCTCCTCAGTGTGCCTGCCAGATCCGGCCCTGGTACACGCCCCGGTCATCCTACCGCGAGGCGGCCACTGTGGACTGCAATGACCTCTTCCTGATGGCAGTGCCTCCGGGGATTCCCGCGGGGACACAGACCCTGCTCCTGCAGAGTAACAGTATCAGCCGGATAGACCAGACTGAGCTCGCCTACTTGACCAACCTCACAGAACTGGATCTGTCCCAGAACAGCTTCTCAGATGCCCGAGACTGTGACTTCCAGGCCCTGCCTCAGCTGCTGAGCCTACATTTAGAAGAGAACCAGCTAAGCCGGCTGGAGGACCACAGCTTCGCTGGGCTGACCAGCCTGCAGGAGCTCTATCTCAACCATAACCAGCTGTGCCGCATTGCCCCCAGGGCCTTTGAAGGTCTCAGCAACCTGCTGCGACTGCACCTCAACTCCAACCTGCTTAGGACCATCGACAGCCGCTGGTTCGATGTGCTGCCCAGCTTGGAAATCCTCATGATTGGTGGCAACAAGGTGGACGCCATCTTGGACATGAACTTCCGACCCCTGGCCAACCTGCGCAGCCTGGTGCTGGCAGGCATGAGCTTGCGGGAGATCTCAGACTATGCCCTAGAAGGACTGCAAAGTCTGGAGAGCCTCTCTTTCTACGACAATCAGTTGGCCCAGGTACCCAAGCGGGCACTGGAGCAGGTGCCTGGGCTCAAGTTCCTAGACCTGAACAAAAACCCACTGCAGCGGGTAGGGCCGGGAGACTTCGCCAACATGCTGCACCTCAAGGAATTGGGACTGAACAACATGGAGGAGCTGGTCTCCATTGACAAGTTCGCCCTGGTAAATCTCCCTGAGCTGACCAAGCTGGACATCACCAATAACCCGCGGCTTTCCTTCATCCATCCGCGCGCCTTCCACCACCTGCCCCAGATGGAGACCCTCATGCTCAACAACAACGCTCTCAGTGCCTTGCACCAGCAGACAGTAGAATCTCTGCCCAACCTGCAGGAGGTGGGGCTCCACGGCAACCCCATCCGCTGCGACTGTGTCATCCGCTGGGCCAACGCCTCGGGCACCCACGTCCGTTTCATCGAACCACAGTCCACCCTGTGTGCTGAGCCTCCGGACCTGAAGCGCCTCCCAGTCCGGGAGGTACCATTCCGGGAGATGACAGACCACTGCCTGCCCCTCATCTCTCCCCGCAGCTTCCCTTCCAGGCTGCAGGTGGCCAGCGGAGAGAGCATGGTACTTCACTGCCGGGCCCTGGCTGAACCAGAGCCTGAGATCTACTGGGTCTCTCCAGCTGGAGTGCGACTGACACCTGCTCATGCAGGCAGGAGGTACCGGGTGTTCCCCGAGGGGACCCTAGAGTTGAGAAGGGTGACAGCAGAAGAGGCGGGGCTATATACCTGTGTGGCCCAGAACCTGGTTGGGACTGACACTAAGACAGTCAGTGTTGTGGTTGGCCATACTCCCTTCCAGCAAGGCAGGGACAAGGGACCAGGACTGGAGCTCCTTGTGCAGGAGACACACCCATATCATGTCCTGCTATCTTGGGTGCCCCCACCCAACATAGTCTCCACCAACCTCACCTGGTCTAGCGCCTCCTCCCTCCAGGACCATGAAGCCTCTGCTTTGGCTCGGCTGCCCCAGGGCACCCACCGCTACAACATTACCCGCCTCCTGCCGGCCACAGAGTACTGGGCCTGCCTGCAAGTGGCCTTCGCTGATGCCCACACCCAGTTGGCTTGTGTTTGGGCCAGGACTAAAGAGGCCTCTCCTTGCCATAGAGCCCTGGGGGACCAGCCTGGGCTCATAGCCATCCTGGCTCTTGCCGTCCTTCTGCTGGCAGCTGGGCTTGCAGCCCACCTTGGCAGAGGCCAGCCCAAGCAGGGGGTGGGTGAGAAGAAGCCTCTGCTTCCAGCCTGGGCTTTCTGGGGCTGGAGCACCCCCTCTTTCCGAGTAGTGTCTGCACCCCTTGTCCTGCCCTGGAATCCAGGGAGGAACCCGCCCAGATGCTCAGATGGAGAGACAGTGTCACCACCTTTGTCTCAACATTCCTGAAGCTCCGCCAGGTCTCAGCAGTAGAGAAATAACCAGGCCAACTCTACACTAAAAGAAAAGTCATCTGGGCCAGACACCTGCCAGGAAAGTGGAGTCAATCCACGTGCTCGAGGCCTAGCAGCTTGACCAAGAAAGATGGGGCTCTGTGGCTCCTGGGGGTGCTCTTGCAGCTTCCAAAATGGTGGCTGTTGCCTTCTGGGGGTCCTCAGCTACTATTCTGAGGAGTGTCTCCAAGGAACAGGAAGGACTCTGCCGAGAGCCTCCTACCTCCCCAGAGGCATCTGAACCTCAGCTTGGCTGTCCCCTGCCTGTGTCCCTAGGCCCCTGGCCCACAGGATTGCCCCCTCCCTCTCTTTCTTTGTACAGTCTCGGTTGCTTGCTCATCCCCCTCCTGGGCAAGGGCTGAAAGAGTCCTCTCCTTTCTGTCTTGGGAGCCTGCCCCAAAGTGGGAGTGTCCCCCAGCTGGATCTGAAGGATATTTGGGGAGAGGGGTATCCAGGGATGCCTCGTCTCATAGCCTGGGCTTCTGAAGTTGACTTTCTACAGGCAGTTTTGTACCTTTGTGGAGAAATGTGTCACCTGTCCCCAACCCAATTCACTCTTTTCTCCCGTTTTGTAAAAAATAAAAATAAACAATAACAACAACCGCGGGGAGAGGAAAAATCCTTTGCATGTTGGGAATCAGAAAAATCTCTTGGATCTCTTGAGAGGCAGGGGTAGGGTAAGAACCCGGAGAAGACATTTTGAATGCTGGCCTCTATGTCTGCTCCAAACATAAAGTGTCCCCATAGCAGGGAGCAGAGGCACTGGGGGAAGAGAGTGGAATTGAGGAGGTGTCACCAGCTAGAAAGAGCGTGACACAGGCAAGGAAAGGCGGAGTGGGAGAGGAAAAACGGAGACAAACACAGGCACGGGGAGAGAGTGGGAATTTCCATTCCCAGACCGGGTCCTCCTTTCTCCTCTGTTGAGCAGCTAACGTGCCTGGGACGCACATCCCCAGCCTGATTCTAATTAAACAAACCCAAGAGGTAGGAGGACCATGCAGAGAATCGCAGATCACACAGACAGCAAGAACTTTGGCTCTCAGGCAGGCAGGAGCGAGCATGGGTGATCAAAGGTCCGAGGAAGGGAGGTGGTGGGTGAGGAGGACATTGCTGTTTCCGTCTCCGCTCCACTCCGCTGTGGCTCACAGTGAGCCTGGTTTGCTTTGGTTCTCTCGTTCTTAACTGATTAACTTCTGGCGACTGAGAGTGAAGAGGAGCATTTGCTGGAAAGCCGTCAGAGCAGAGGACTAAAGGAGCTGCCGAGGGGCCAAGCCACAGGCGACACCAGAGGCCGCTGGGCAACTGGGCTGGGGAAGGGAGTGAGTTTCCTGAGACTTGTCAGATCCACACAGGAGTCTGAGGGTCACCTAGTTACAGAACATGTGTGTCAGACTTGGTGACGCGGATCCCAAACCGTCACCAAGACTGCAAATGGACACACAGGTGGGCACCAGATCAGCATCTGCCCATAGTCCCCGGAATCTAAACTGGGATGACCCCCCAAAATCAGAGGGCAGTTTCCTCCATAGCCGGGCTCTCAGAAGTGCCATCTCCTTGGCAGGGACTCTCACATCAGTTTGCAGACTCCCCTGCAGACCTGTTTGAATGTTTCCCATGTACATGGCTAAGGCAGATGCTGCCAACTTGGGCATTACACTCAGAATCACTGGAGCCCAGCCTGGGATAGCTAGAATTTTCCATACCTACTCCACGCCTCTGATATCCCCACCTTGCTTTGTTTTTGTTTGGGGGGGGGGCAGGGTCTAGAAGCTTTCTATAGCTCAGGCTGTTCTCAAATTGGCAATCCTCTTGCTTCAGCCCTTGGAGTGATGGGATTACAGGCACGTACCATCACACTTTTGGCTTTTTTATAGACAGCTAAAGAAAGTTGGAGTAGCAACTACAGGGTGGTCTCCACTACCCTGATCACCCGATGCTCTTTCCCAGGGTTGTATGGTCTTCATACTGTGCCTGACCGCATTCCTGCTGGGCACTGTTGACCTCCCAGGGTTCTCTTCTGATGCACCTTGGCTGCGCTCCTGATTGGCTGGACTCATCACAATAGCCCCTGTTACTCAAGCAAGCCTTCATCATGGCATTTGTAGGCTGTGCTTTGCCCAGCTCATAACACAGGTGGAAGCTTACTTAAGGTGGCGGGAACAGTCTCTCCCAGCCTTCTGCATTGCGTCTGCTGTGAACGTGTGTCACCAGGGAGACGGCACTGCCATGACAAAGTCACGCCTGCTCTCCCACCTCACACTACCAAGGCCTTGTCTAGTGTGACTTTACCAGTGAATGTTCCTCATGGGAGCCACAAGTGTTAGGTCCCTGCCTCAGTCTACCTTGTATGGCTCTCACCCATCTGAGAATGGTTTGGTTTTTTGTTTGTTTGGTTTTTGGCTTTGTTTTTGTTTTTTGCAGCCTCCCTTGAAGAGCATCTTATGTGTTTGTGGGAAAGCAAGAACGGCTGGCATTGAGCACTTCCTGTGTGTCAGCGAGTCCTAATAGCAGGGATTTCCCATGTACTGTGTCATTTAATTCACCAGTGAAGTGGACTCTCATTTTGCAGATTTCAATCTGAGAGCTGAGGAAGGTTAAATGGGGTCTCCACGGCAACACAGCTACTAAGTGGCAGAGGTGAATTTAAATGCTGTCTGACTCTGAAGACCATTGCCTTGACCGTTTGGCTCTCTCATATTCAAATCCATATACTGGTGGCTGTTCTTGATGACTCACAGCCCAAATCCCAGAACTCCAGAGGCTGAAGCAAGCAGAGTTCTGGGAGTTGAGGACAGCCTGGTCTACATAGAACAAAACAAACCCATACAACTTAATCAATTTGGGGTTTTATTTTTGAGAGAGGGTCTCATGAAGTCCAAGCTGGCCTCAAACTCACTAAGCAGCTGAGGGTGACCTTGACCTTACAGTTCTCCTACCCACCCAGTGCTGGAGTTGCTAGTATGCACCACCATGCCCAGCTTCAAACTCATGTATTTTTAAAACTATGTCAAAAGTTTTTTTGAGAACATGAGCCCTTCTCAAAGCTCTGTGCATTAGAGAGTTTCCCGTGCAGCCACGTTATTTTTAGATACTGCCCTCATTTTTTTTAACTCATGATAATTTGTAATTTTATTGTCAGGACTTCAGATTTTCAACCCCTTGAGTGGTATTACCTTGAGAACCACAGCTGATGACTCTTTCCCATGAAGTGTCTTCTGAATCATGCTTTCTGTGGATCTTACCTTCCTCCCTCTCCTTCCCATCCCTGGTTCCTACTTGAAGACTCTGTGGTGGCTCCTCTGGAGGGGCTCTCCCTTCCTCATGGCTCAGTTCAGGTGAGCTTTGCTCAGGGGCTTCTGAGCTCAGGTGTCAGCTAGGTAGGTCTGGGCTTTATCAGAGGCCAGAGGCTGAATGAAGCCATTTACCAAGTGTGCATCTAGATGGCAGAGGGGCTTTATCGCTGCTTCTTCTGCCTCTGGGACTCTGAGAGTATGAGCTAGAAACTTCCTGAGTACGTTCCTTGAAACCAACAACTACAAAGCCCCTGAGCCATTCCCCTTCCATCCTCGTCCAAAGGTTGCTGCTCAAACTTGACCTTTCATTGTCCTGTTACGGCCATGAGTAAGGACCTCATCCTGCCTCCACCACACTGCAAGCCTCTATGTTCCACTGGGCTCCCCTCTCTGCATCTTCAGCCAGAGAACCCCTCTACTTTGTTTGTAGAAGCTTCCAAGCATCACAGCGCGTGTGCACGCACGCACACACCTCAGCACCAGTGCACACAGAAGGATTGCGATCTCTTGACCACAGTTTGTCTAGCTTCTGGATGCCTTAGATTTAACATTGTCCTTGGCTACAGAACACTGGTTGGTTGAGGGAGTACTAAGGGTCTATTCTTCATCTCGTTGCCATCCTCAAAGATCCAAAAGGACCAGGATGTCAACCTGTGAGAAGCTGAGAAAGAGCCCAGACTCAACCTACAGGACAAGAGTAGGCCAATCTAGGCCGTGACTCACTGACAGCGATTCTCATTCGCTGAGCAAATCTCAGTGAATCAGCAGAACAGATATTATTATCTCCACTTTACAGGTGAGGAAGGGTGAGGCTTCAAACATTTAAACAACTTACCAAGGTCACACTACCAAAAAGAGTCAGCCTGGAATCAGGCCCAAGTCTCCTGAGTTCACACTATCCTGCTCAACTCCTTCTCCTTGGAGATCCAGGAAGCAGGCTAGGGAGTGGGATGCTGCAGCGCTAGGTGTGGGGAACAAATCAGGCGGTTACTACGGAGGAGAAAGAGACTTATTCTCAGCTGGGTACAGGAAAAAGAATTCCAGGTGTGATCACAGGACACACAAGCATGGACTAGCCAGAGCCGGGCCCCCACGGCTGAGGGATCTGAGAGTCACCCTCCCAGAACGAATTCCCAGTGGCCACAGTTGAAGCCGCCTACTCAGAACCTTCTAAGGCAGGCTATGCTGTATAAGTCCAGATACCTCTGTCTCTCATCATCCTACAGTGATGAGATTAAGGCCGGGCAGGGTGAGAGGCCAGGGAAGCTGGAGGGCCATTCCTCACAGTGCCTCCACGACACTGAGTGATTCAAATAGGCCTCTGATGAACCGATGGACCTTTCTATATCCGTGGGAGTGTGGAGTGTTCTATAGAGAACATCTTGGAGTTAGTAGGATTCTGAACCGTCAAGAACAAAGGCGTTAGAGGTTTGAGAATCACGCTCAGGGCTACAGGATTCAAGAGAGCTGCCATGAGAAACAGAGCCACCTACACCAATCTGAGAGCCTGTCAGGGAGGATTAGATTGATGGGGATCTCTGCCCCATCGCTGTGCTGAAACGGGATTTGCATTTGCTTATATGGCTATTGCCTTTAAGAATAAGGAAAATGGAGTGAAATCTCTGTGTTTTTATTAGCAAACCAAAGTTCAAGCTTTTAATCCCTGGAAGCCCACAAGCTTCCTGGAGCTCGGCTGCACTCTCCAGCATCAGCTCCTGAAGCCCATATCAAGGCTACCTTCTCCAGTCAACAACACCCATCTGTCCAGCATGCTCTGGGAAAGGAAAAGGGGTCTCCCAAAAGCTACATGTAACCCGGTGCAAGGAGATGAGAAGCCACTGTCCTCATCCTCCTTACGCCCTTTCTCAACCCCCACGGCTGTCTGACTCACCCCTAGGCAGGTGCGTGAGCTGTGTGCACACATGCACACCCATGTGCCCCCGTGAACACACAGACTTCGCAAATGTCACAGGCAGCTGTGAACTATCTGCCTCTCTACACTCCATCTGCCAGAAGCTATTTTAAGCACCTAATAAAACTGTTTTAGAAAGATTCCTGGGGTGATCTGCCCTTTGCTTCCCCAGGGCAAGAACAATTATGCTCTAAATAGAGCTAAACTTTGCTACACAGCCAAGACAGGAGGAAGAGACCCCGGTGACCCACGGTGAGGAGTGTGCGTGTTCTGCGAGGATTGTGGGTAAAGAGGAAGGACAGATGGGTCTGGGCCTGCGTGTTCCTGTCCCTGTTCTGAGCCTTACTCTCCAGGTTCCCTTGAGCTAATATGTAAGTCCCTGCACTTTATTGATGAA